TCTGGGTATGACTAATACTGTGTATGAGTAAGTCTGTGTATGAGTAAGTCTGTATATGAGTATGTCTGAGTGTGAGTAAGTCTGAGTATGAGTAGGTCTGAGTATGAGTAAGTCTGAGTATGAGTAAGTCTGTGTATGAGCAAGTCTGAGTATGTCCGACAGGAGGGGACGAGAAAAGAGGAGGAGGAAGAAGGAGGAGGAGTAGGAGGCGTCCAAGTAATAACAAGAACCCCATCTTAGGATATGGGGAAAAATAGTCTGGAGACCATTGTTCGACTATTCTTTTACTGTTTGGGGGGCATTTCGTCCAAAATCCACCTGTACGGGGACATGCCCGACCTAAGCATCGGGGAACGCACAATGTCATAAACATAAAAACTCGGAGGTCCGCGCGGACTTTTCGGATCTGCACTGGGGCAACCGCTGGTTTCGCCCGGGGCTGGTTTCGCCCAGCTGGTTTCAACCGGCTGCTGGAGGAGGTGCAGGAGGAGGAGGAGGAGGAGGAGGAGGAGGAGGAGGAGGAGGAGAGGAGGAGGAGGAGGAGGAGGGAGGAGGAGGAGGAGGAGGAGAGGAGAGGAGGAGGAGGACGACGAGGAGGAGGAGGAGGAGGGGGAGGAGGAGGAGGCAGGACGAGGAGGAGGAGGAGGCGGAGGAGGAGGTGGGTGAGGGTGGGTGGGGAGGAGGTGGAGGTGGAGGTGGAGGAGGTGGCTGAGGGAGGGCAGGACGAGGAGGAGGGAAAGGGTTAGGGCCGCTGGACCCGACCCGACCCGACCCACCCGTTAGGGTCCGCCCGTCCCGACCCGACCCGACCCGCCCGTTAGGGTTCGACCCGACCCGACCCGACCGTTAGGGTTCTCGCGTGCCCTCTCGATTATATGCACCACACTTTAATGTCCCGCCCGCCCGACCCGACCCGCCGTAGGGTCCGCCGTCCCGACCCGACCCGACCCGCCGTTAGGGTCCGCCCGACCGACCGACCCGCCGTTAAGGTTCTCGGTGCCCTCTCGATTACATGCACCACCTTGAATGTCCCGCCGCCCGACCCAGCCCGCCCATAAGGGTCCGCCGTCCGACCCGACCCGTGTTTTGGGTACGCCCGACCCGACCCGACCCGACCGTTAGGGCTCTCGCGTGCCCTCTCGATTAACTATGCACCACACTTTAATGTCCCGCCCGCCCGACCCGACCCGCCCGTGAGGGTCCGCCCGACCCGACCCGACCCGACCCGCCCGTTAGGGTCCGCCCGACCCGACCCGACCCGCCCGTTAGGGCTCTCGCGTGCCCACTCGATTATGCACCACACTTTAATGTCCCGCGAAACCAGCGGGGCGAAACCAGCGGGGCGAAACCAGCGCTGGCGAAACCAGCGTCGGGCGAAACCAGCGCCGGCGAAACCAAAGTCGGGCGAAACCAGCTCCGGCGAAATCAGCCCCAGCGAAACCAGCCCGTGCCTGCACTGGACCCCCCCCTGGCCCCAGGGACCCACTGGGCGCCTCTGCAGGAGGCCCCCCAGGCGTTTCAGAGCTCTGGGAAGCCCTTACTGGGCCTACGTAGACAACGGGCCCAAATCGGTCAGGAGGGCGGCCGAACGCTCCCCCGAGGGCCCCAAGAGTCCCCAGACACGCAGCAGACACCCGAAGACGACCCAAAGAAGACCCCCAAGAGGCTTCCAAAACGCAGAAAAGCATTGATGTTCCAAGGTTTTCACATGACTTTGGGAATGCCCTGTTCTTCGGTCTTGTGGGCGTCCGAGACTGCCTGGGAGGCTCGAAAGTCGCCCCGAAACCATCCGAAAGGGCTTCCAGGCAGCCCAAGAGAGCCCCAAGACGGCACAACAGGGTTCCAAGATGGCCTAAGAGAGCCCCATGACGGCCCAAGATAGCCCCAAGACACTCTCGGAAGCATTCCAAATCGTGATTCAGTCGTTCAGGGAGACCGCGGTTGGAGGCAGCGTGGCCCGAGGAAGCCCCGAAAGGCCCCCAAAAGACGCCCAGGAGGCCTCTGGAAGGCCTTAAGGAAAGCCAGAAAAACCTCCGTGAGGCCCCCAAGAAGCTCTGCAAGGAGGAGCCTCCGCAACAGGAGCTGAGGACGGGGGAGAATTCGCAGGGTAGGGTGAGAATAAGGTCTTTTAAAAAATGGTGCCAAAATGACGAAGAACTGTTTTAGAACGGGGACGACGGGAAGAGCAACAAAGAATTATCACTGAGTTGTCCGTTTGACCGTCCTGCCGTTACGCCTGCACGCCAAATTTCAAGGACTCGGGTGCGTGGCTCGGAGCGCCAACGCAGTCTTGTGTATATATATATATATATAACATAATTATATACAAGTGGCACGCGTGTGCCCATGCTCATACAAAAAACTGAAAGGTCGTTTGGAGCAGGACGACACCATGACGGCGGGATCGGAGATGGAGAAGGGGAAGCTGGCGCGGCGCCGCCAGGGCGTGCCTAAGAGAAGGGGAAGAGGCAGGAGGTGACCGCAGAAGAATCTAAGATCGAGGAAGAGCCCCCCCAAAGGATTGGGGATCGAGCAGGAGGATCGACAAGGGCAATGCCTCTCCGAGGTCAGAGTTGCGAGGATGTCTCAGGCGAAGGTGGTCTGACCACCTCAGCTCAGGGCATCTCGAAACCCAGAGTTGCGAGGACGTTTCAGGCGAAATTGGCCCGAACACCTCAGTTCAGAGCATCTCGGAATCCAGAGTTGCGAGGGTGTCGCAGGCGAAAATGGCCAGACCACCACGGGACAGGGCATCTCGGAATCCAGAGTTGCGAGGATGCCTCAGGCGGAAGTGGCTGAACCATCTTAGTTCAGGGCATCTCTTGCTCCTCCTGCTCCTCCCCATCCTCCTCGCTCGCCACAAACACACGAACATGTAGCACCAGTGATGCAAGATTGGCTGGCGGAATGAGCGAAGCGATTAACAAGAGAAGTGTAAGCACGATTCCCACCATGCCGATTTGTTTCACTAGATGTGGAGGGAAAGAGAAGGACGAGAAGAGGAGGAGGAGGAGGAGGAGGAGGAGGAGAGCTGCTGGGAGTGAAGTGCAATAGCGGGGTCGCACTCGAGCGCAAGCGGGGTTGCCACACCTTGCGATGTGTGTACCACGGGCCCCCAGGAAGCCTCAGGAGGCCCGACCAGGATGCCAGAAAATAGTCCAGGAGGCCCCAGGAGGGGTCGTCTGGGATCGAGGTTGCGAGGATGTCCATGGAGGCCTCAGGAGGCCCGACCAGGAGGCCGCAAGAGGCTCCAGGAGGCCGAAGGAGAGTACGTCTGGGCTCGAAGTTGCGAGGATGTCCATGGAGGCCGCAATAGGCTCCAGGAGGCCCGACCACGAGACCGCAAGAGGCTAATTTTGCGAGGATGTCTCAATCGAAACTGCCATTCTCGGAGAGTTGGTCTCAAAATCATTGCATTGTGTTTTTGAAGGTCTTATGTTTAAATGTTGACATTCCTATGTGCTTTTGGACCCTGACGTCACGATCTGCGTGAGAGGTGCGTTGTAGGTGTTGTGTGCGTGTTATGTCTGTCTCGCGTGTGATGTGTTGGGTGTGATGTGTGTCTTTACCTGTGCATGTAATTCTGAGGCCCCAGGAGACCCAGGAGGCCCCAGGCGGCCTCAGGCCCCAGGAGACCCCAGGAGGCTCCAGGAGGCCCCAGGAGGCCGCAGGAGGCCGCAGGAGGCCCAAGGAGGCCCCAGGAGGCCCCAGGAGGTTCCAGGAGGCCCCCAGGAGGCTCCGAGGCGGGGTCTGGGGTACCAGAAAGTACGTCGGGGCTCGATTTTCGGAGGATGTCTCAGGCGAAACCGCCATTATTTGAGAATCGGGTTCAAAATCATTGAAATTACATTGTGTGTTCGAATGTTTTATCTTAGAATGTTCGAATTCCAATTTGTCTTTGGACCCTGACGTCACGATCTGTGCGAGCGGTGCCACCGATTTTCCGAATTTCGAGGATGTCCCAGTGAAACGGCCAGACAGACTCGCGGACGCGGCGCGGCCTTCAATTAATCGCCTCTGAGCTCTGCTCCCTCGGAGAGGTGAGTATGATAATCTATACATATACACACACGTAGATACATACATACATTCATTCATACATACATACATACACATACCTTCCGACCTACATACCTACCTACCTGCCTGCCTGCCTGCCTGCATGTCTTGCCTGTCTGCCTACATGCATACATGCATGCATGCATGCATACATGCATACAAACATGCATGCATGCATACATACATGCATACATGCATACATACATAAAGACTTACATACATACATGCATACATACATACATACCTACATACATGCCTACATACATACATACATACCTCCCGACATACATACCTACATACATACGTACATATCTACATGCATACGTATATGCATGCATTCATACATACATACATACATGCATGCATACATATATACATACGTACGTACATACATACATACATATATACATACATACATACATGCATACATACATACATGCATATATTCATACATGTACACATATATTGCATACACTGCATACATACATATATTCAAGAATATATAAATATATATACATATATACGTGTATATGCATACATACATACATAAATGCGTGCATGCATACATGCATACATACATACATACATGCATGCATGCATACATGCATACATACATACATGCATACATGCATACATGCATACATGCATACATGCATACATGCATATATGCATACATGCATACATGCATACATGCATACATGCATACGTACATATATACATATATACATACATGCATGCATACATACACACATACATGCATTGCATACATACGTGCATGCATACGTACATGCATACATACATGCCTACATACGTACATACATATCTACGCACATGCATACATGCATCCTTGCAGACATACATACATACATACATACATACATACATGCACGCATACATACATACATACATACATACATACATACATACATACATACATACATACATACATACACGCATGCATGCATGCATGCATGCATGCGTGCATGCATGCATGCATGTATACATGCATACAGACATTCCCTCACAAAGCAGCTCGCACTGACCCAGTGGCTTCCTCACCGTGCCCGTGGGATGGAGCCCGAAGCCCTGCCCGAACAGACTCTCGCTCCCGCGTGTCGACCACGCTCGACACTGTGCGAAACACACAAAGAGTAGCACCACCACAATGCTACACCTGGCCGTGGCGGAAGCAGATCAGAATGCCAGCCGTCCGCGTTGGCGCAGGCGATTGTCAAGGAAGAGGAGAGGGAGGAGGAGGAGGAGGAGGAGGAGGAGGAGGAGGAGGAGGAGGAGGAGGAGGAAGGGGGAGAAGGAGGAAGGGAAGAGGAACACTGGCATTGTGCGTGCATCCCACATGGTCACGACGACCATTTGTAGAATGAGGCCCGACACAGCGACAGTCAAAGAGAAGCCTAACGATATTCTCAAATCCCCTGCCAACCGAACATGAGAGAGACATGCCCAGGATCCAATCACGCCGACATGGAAGAAGTGAGGAGACAGAATGGAAAGTGAAACGTTGTGTGCCTATGTATATATATATATACACACACGCGCACATGCACATTCTGAGACAGAGCGGAGCCACTCAGCGCCCCAATCACCCTGTTCCTCCTCGTCTCCGTCGGACGTCCTCGTCCGCCACGCCCTCGGAAGTCGCGTTCATGCTGCTCACATCCATGCTTTGCGTAGAAAATCTCGCGGGCAGGCCTGGGCGATAGGAGCCCCGCTCTGTGTCTCGCGCGCGCAGCCATCTGCCGCCAACGTGTCTACTCCTCCTTTTTGTGTTCCTCATCCGCCCCTCCTCCTCCTCCTCATCATCATCATCGCCCTGACCATCATCCAACCAACATTTTGGGCGGAGGTGGTTCAAAGCGGTTCCTCTTCCAAACCCCCGTCTTCGCTTTCGGAGAAGGGTTCACCCGTCCACCTGCCCCATCCCTGGGGCCTGGACGTGAGTGGGGGCAGGGGGGCATCAGGGCGTCCAAGATGGCCCACGAGGACTCCAAACTGGCTATAAATAGCCCAATGTGGCATCCAAGCTGGCACAACACAGCCCAAGATCGCTCAGCACATCTCCCAGCATGCCTCCAAGAAGCCTCGAGACCGCGCCACGGCGGCGGGGCCGCCTGAGGATACCCCAAAGAGGAAAAGGCCTTCCAAAACCCGAGGCCCACAAAAAGGCGTGCTTGCAGTGAGCTTTTGAGGCATCAAGGTGGCTCCAAAATGGCTCGAGGAAGCCCCAACTGGGGCTCATAAGGGCCCCAAGACGGCCCCACGACGACCCCAAGAGCGCCCACGAGCGCCCCACGAGGGCCACAAGAGGCGACCGCTCGAGGCCCAGGGAGGCCAGGCTAAGAAGGGACCCACCCCTTCGGTCAACACCAAAGGTTTTTTCACGGGGAACATCACTGGGAGGCTGCTGGGTCACGATGGCTCCAATATGGCTTCAGATAACTCAAGATGGCCTCCAACATGGATGGCGCAAAATGGTCCAGGATGGGTCAAGATGCACTCTGACATCCCAAGAAGCCAAAGGACCACTCCAAGGCGACTCCAAGCGGTCACGGAGCGTCCCACGGAGTGCTTCCGATGGGCACGCGAGGCTTCCAGGCGGCCACAAGATCGCCCCACGGAGCCCCAAACGGGGCTCAGAAGAAGCCCAAGACAGCCCGAAGAGCGCCCGAGAGGCCTCCACGAGGCGAGGTTTCGGGCTCCGACGGGGCCGCCCTGATTAAGGCTCCCTCTGCTTCGATCGATAGACTCCGAAGATGGCCGCAGGATGGCCACCGAGGCCCCCGAAAGGGCCCCCATCTCCCGTGCTTCGTCCGCCTGCCCCTCTGGGCCTCTGCCGTCACCCTTCGCCATCCGGCCACTCACCTCGACGCTGTGTTTCCCACGCCTTGGTGGCCCTGTGGCCCCGTCTACGCCTCGGCTGACCAGGCGCAGTCTACACGCCCGTCGCGCCCCCGTCGGACATTGCACTCCCCGTGCCACGAAACTGGGTGCGTCATCAGCTCTACCCACCCCGTCGGGCACGCCACGACCGTACGTCCCAGCCTGGTAAGTCGAGATCTGTACCCCCCACTAGGGTATGTCACGCCCAAATGGACGTTCGGCCCACTGAGATGGTTGCTCGCATCATGCCCAGCCACCCAGGGACCGCCTACCCCGAAAGAAAGCGTATTGTCTGACGGCATCCTCCTCCTCCTCCTCCTCCTCCTCCTCCTCCTCCTCCTCCTCCTCTTCCTCCTCCTCTTCCTACTCTTCTCCTCCTCCTCCTCCTCCTCCTCCTCTCCTCCTCCTCCTCCTCCTCCTCCTCCTCCTCCTCCTCCTCCTCCTCCTCTTCTCCCTCCTCCTCCTCCTCCTCCTCCTCCTTGCCTCCTCTCCTCCTCCTCCTCCTCCTCCTCCTCCTCCTCCTCCTCCTCCTTGGCATCCTCCTCCGTCTCCTTTTCTTCATCCCACTAGTCCTTCGCATCCCTCTCCATTCATTCGCCTGACCCTGGCCCCCCATGATGCAAACACCATCCACTGTTCAAGGTCTCGTCCGATACCTGGACTGGCGAAATTAAAAAAGAGCAAGCACAGTGGAGAGGGATGGGAGGGAGGGGCAGGATATCAGGGCGCACCTATGTCGCATGTCCTCTCCTCTCCTTCCTCCCTCCCCCCTCCTCATCCCTGCGGCCGCGTGTCTGACGCGCGCCGGGAGCTGTATGAATGGAAGCCAGCAGACACCTCCGCCGTCCCACAGAGGAGGGCGGCTTACCAAGGGGTGGCAGCGGTCGTCTAATGCAACAGCCACTCCTAGAGGGGGGAGGGGTCTGCCAGCCAGGGCCTATAGAATCCGCCAGGCAGGAACTCCACGAGAACCAGGACGACAACGTAGCCCCCCCCAGACAAGCGACGTCCTGATGTTTTCCATACGGGCTCCCTGGAAGCCCCGACCCTTTCCCCGGGACCCGTTTTTCACCCCGAGTTGCTTTTTGACGGTCCCGAGGCCCGGCGAGGGCCCCCCGAGGTCGAACATGGCCGAAAACCTCCCGCCCTGATTTGCTTTACGACGCGATGATGTCTGGGCCCCTCCTCCGTCCATCCCTCCCTCCCCGACCCGGCTTCGCCGCGCTCTCGGTCTGAGCGGGCTCCCTTGGCGGCTCCCGCGCGACGCCTCCCTGCCCGGCGCGCGTGCCAGGGAGGAGGAGGCAGCCCCTCCCCCAGGAGGCCCCCTCGGGGCACCCCAGAGGCGCCCAAGACGCCCCCAGGAGGCCTCGGCGAGAAGGCCCCAGAGTATTGACAGTAATAAGATGTTGGTCAAAGTGTGGCCTCCTTGGGGAGGGGACCCAAAGGAAGGAGCCCCCTCCTTCGATCGATCTCTCCCAAGACGGCCCCAAGATGGCCCCCGAGGCGCCTCCCCCCGTTGTTCGCCGCTCGGAGGACACACCACACGCTCGTCCGCGTGCGGCCGACGTCACTCACTGGGCTTCTTGGAGCTCGCAACGTGTCCCGCGGGCTTCTATGCAAACGGGTACTCTGGGGGTCATGGCTTGGGGTGGGAGTTAGTTTTCTATAAAAACCACCCTCGCCCCCAGCCAGGACCCCCTGTATCACCAGGTCGCGAACGGGGGTCCTGACTGCGGGTGGGGGTGGGTTGTGCTGTCCTCACCTCCTCCCTGGCCCGCCTCCACCATCCCCCCACCCTTCTTCAACGACCACCTTCCCTGTCCGTCCCAAAGGGGATGCACAAGCCCTCCACCCAAGAGCGAGCCCGAGGAGGACGGGCCAAGCGGGCGCACGCAGCAAAAAAAGGCGCGTGCACGCGCGAGCCGACCGCGGGGCACCGCGGCATGAAGCACGCGCCATGCACCACCGAGCTGCGGCGCAGCTCTTCTCGCGCGAGAGTCGGGGGGGTGCAGGAAACGGAGGAAGAGGGAGGAGGAGGGAGGAGGAGGGAGGAGGGAGGAGGGAGGAGGGAGGAAGGAAGGGGAGGAGGAGGAGGCAGGGAGGAGGAGGAGAGGAGGAAGGGAGGAGGAGGAGGAGGAGGAGGAGGAGCAGAGAGAGGAGGGAGGAGGAGGAGGGAGGAGGAGGAGGCGGAGGAGGAGGGGGAGGAGGAGGAGAAGGAGGCCATGTCTTGCCCTCTCTCGGAGCGCCCCGATGCTCGGTGGGCTCTTTGGGGGCCCTCCCTGGCCCGGCCTTGGGCCGCCCCGGGGCCGTGCTTGGGCCGGCCTGGGCCCTCGGAGAGCTGTCGTGGGGCTCTCCTCGGGGGCTCCTCTGGAGGCCTCTGGGGCCCGTCTGGCCGTCCCTGGCGGCGCGCACAGGGGGGTGGAGGGAGGGGGAGGGCGTCTTCGAAGGAGGCTGCTTCTCAGAAGGCGCCGGCCCTGCATCTACAGAGAAGCCCAGCGCCCTCTAGGAAGCAGGGGTGCTTCTGAGGAGCCCTCCCCCCTCCCCCCACCCCCCTCTGCGCGTGGCTGACGTCTGGTGGGGTCCCTGTGGGCGGCCAAGAGGCCGAGGCACGCACCCGCCCACACCTTGGTGGCGTCGGTGGCACCGTCGGTCCCCATCAGTAGTCGACGGCGAGCGAGGGGGGGCAGGTGAGGAGGAGAAGGCCTTCCAGGAAGGCGGCGGGCCTCTGAGAAGGCCTCTGGCCTTCTGAGGAGATGTTTGCGTCGTCGGGGAACGCTCAGAAAGTGTATCAGAAGGCCGGGGGGCTTCCGAGCCTGCTGAGAAGGCCCGCCCCTCCTCACTTCCCCCTGGGCTCGCCGCCGAAGTAGACAGTAGAAAAGGTAACAGGTGACAGGAATGGAAAGACGAGCGACAGGACTCAGTTCTTCGACGTGTTCTGGTAATCACCGATTCTCATCCCAGATGGCTTCAAGGTGGCCCCCGAAGCCCCAAGATAGCTCCAGGATCACTCAAGATGGCGCAAAGGTTGCCTCTAGTGGCCTCAAGGTACCACCAATACCGCCCAAGATGGCCCAAAAAGGACCCAAGGCGGCCCCAGGGTGCCTGGCCCCAGGATGCCCCCAAAAGTCCACAAGATGGTCCTTCTGGAGGCCCCGAATATGAGAGAGAGAGAGATTAGGAGGCAACTACTGGGAGGTCTTCGTCGGAAGGACTAAGGAGAATTGAGTCCCACCGGGGGGCTACTGCGTCGGATTAGGCAGCGGATTAAGCGGGAGTAAGCCGCATTCAGCGGGAGGAGGCCAGAGTAAGCGGCATCAGGCCGGACTAAACCGGATTTCGAACCAGGGCTAAATCAGAATGTGACCTCCCAGGAGTTGCATCCTAAGAGAGAGAACCAACATTGCTCAGGATAGCCCCACAGGGTGGCTTCTGGAGACGTTAAGATTGTCTCCAGCAGGCCCAGAGCCTCAAGGTGGCCGCAAGAAACATCTGGCCCCGTCCGGGCGGGCGGCGGCACAAAGGGCGCAGCCCTTCACGTGATCGCGACGAGGTCGCCTCGCCCTGACCTTCCTGCGGAATTCGGAGGAGGAGGAGGAGGAGGAGAAGGAGGAGGAGAAGAAGAAGAAGAAGAAGAAGAAGAAGGAGGAGGATCCCGCATCCTCCTCCTCCTCCTCCTCCTCCTCCTCCTCCTCCCTCCTCCTCCTCCTCCTCCTCCTCTCCTCCTCCTCCTCCTCCTCCTCCTCCTCCTCCTCCTCCCTCCTCCTCCTCCTCCTCCTCCTCCTCCGCCTCCTCCTCCTCCTCCTCCTCCTCCTCCTCCTCCTCCTCCTCCTCCTCCTCCTCATCCCTCCCCCTCCTCCCTCCTGACCTCTGGGTGATCGGTATGTCGCGACTTCTTCGCGACGCTCGGATCTGAGGGGACGAGGAGCGAGAGGAACAAGGGACGGCATTTGAGCACAAAAGATCGGAGGCCCGCGCGGAACTGTTGGATCGGCGACGGGCCCACGCCCCCTCTGTGGCGGGGGCGGCGGGGAAGGGCTGTCCAGCGTCGGCCCCAGAAAAGTCCTCGCGAAGCGCCTAAGGACTCGCACTTGCGACGTGTGCTGCTCTCCCGCAGGTACGGTCATCCCGTGTCATAAGGATGCGCGGCATGCACCGTTTCCCCCGGGGCCGTAGGCGACCCGAGGAGGAGGAGGAGGAGGAGGAGGAGGAGGAGGAGGAGGAGAAGGAGGAGGTGGAGGAGGGGGAGGCGGAGGAGGAGGAGGAGGAGGAGGAGGAGGAGGAGGGAGGAGGAGGAGGAGGAGGAGGAGGGGGGGGAGGAGATGGAGGAGGAGGAGGAAGAGGAGAGGAGGAGGAGAAGGAGGAGGAGGAGGAGGACGGGTCATCTAAGCCCTTCGGAGAAAGCCTCCAGCGCGGTAAGGATGCAAGGGCCTTGGAGGCCTACGTTAACGCTTTTGCGAACGAGGTTGGCCGGCGAAAGTCGCTAAGGATGGGCCGAAGAGGGGCAAGGATGCAAGGGTACCCTTGGGAAGGCTGCCCACCATTACTGCGCGGGTCGACTCACAAGGAGGCCGGACAACCTCAGACTCCACATGTGCGACTCTGAAGTCTGGGATTAGATCGGACATGTCCTCCTACAGGCGGATGTTTGAAGAAAAATGGAAAATAGACAAAACAAATATTCAATAATACTCCCGAATAATCGGGAAAATCGTCCCCTGACTATTTTCTGACCATTTTTGAATATTCCTCCTGTAGAGGGACATGCCCGACTTAAGTCTGGGATCATTCGACCACCATCCGCTCAAAATCAGCACGCGGACCCCTCCCCGGGGTCCATCCTGGCCAGGCGTCCGAGCCGCGCCCCGCCGTGGCGACGAGGACCTCCAACCCCCCCCCCAAACCCCCACCCAAAAAAAAACTCCGAAACGAAGACGCCGACGTCGTCGTCTGCCGCAGCTCAAGAAGCCTAAGCATTCAGCTGCTGCTGCTGGTCTACACTAACGAGGCCCCTGCTTCCCTGGACGCCAGATCTAGCGCTGCAGCCTCTGCTCTGGATGCAGCCACCGGGAGCTCCCCAAAAGGTGCCGTGCACGACCCACATCTCAGGGAGGGACTCGCCGTCTTCGGCGCCCCTGTCGCCTGCACCAGAGCCCAGATCATGACGGATGCTGCCGCGCAGTCCTCCTCCTCATCCTCTCCCTCATCCTCTCCCTCATCCTCCTCCTCCCTCCCCCTCCCCCTCCTCCTCCCCCTCCTCCTCCTCCTCCTCCTCCTCCTCCTCCTCCTCCTCCTCCTCCTCCTTCTTCTTCTCGAAGCCCCCCCCCCAATCCTCGAATCCTCGCGAGCCCTCGAGCCCGACACGCCCGAGGGGGGGGCCCAGGTCGTCGTCGGAGGCGACCGCAACCGTCGGCCTCGTCCGCGCGAGCCTGTCCAGGAGCTTCTCGGCCCTCTGGGTTGCGGCGGAGGGGAAGGCGGCGGCCCGGGCAGAAGAGGAGGAGGAGGAGGAGGAGGAGGAGGAGGAGGAGGAGGAGGAGGAGAGGAGGAGGGAGGAGGAGGGAGGAGGGGAGGAGAGGAGAGGAGGAGGAGGAGGAGGAGGAGGAGGAGGAGGAGGAGGAGGGAGGCGGAGGCGGACGAGGAGTTGGGAGGCAACTCCTGGGAGGCGGAGGCCCAGGCCTCCACGCGGGAGGGGAGTCGGGGGAGCCAGCCAAGAAGAAGGACCAGAGCAGGGACGAGCAGGCACTGCCGGAGCTCCGCGCGGAGCTCCCGGGTCCGCGCGGGGCCCCCCTCCCCTGGCGCGCGGAGCGGGCCGGGGCGGCGCCGGAGGCGCACGCAGGAGGGCCCCAGCGCCGATCCCAGAAGTCCGCGCGCGGCCCCGGAGGTTTACGTTTGTGTGCCTTCTCTCTTATTTCGAGCTTCGTCCTCGTCCACTCCGCAGGAGCGAGTCGTCATCTGGAGCAGGGAGCTCCTGCGACCAGGCGGCTCCCGAGAGGGAGTCTGGGAGCCTGCGGTACGGGGGGCCGCCGTCGCAGGAGGACGAGGAGTTGGGAGGCAACTCCTGGGAGATCTTCGTGGAGACGCTTCAAAGCTATCAAGCCCGATGACGGGGCCACTCAGCCAGATGAGCCCAGATTAAGCCCAGGATTGCTGAAGCCCGATGAAGCCGGAATAGCGGGGACAAAGCAGGATTGTGCCAAATCAGACCGGTGATTGACCGCGGATGTACCAGCGCCGATGCTGAATTCACCTTCCCAGGAGTTGCACCCCAAGAGGGAGGTGAGGAGGCCCAGGCCCCCCAAGAGGCTCGGAAAGACACGGGTCTCAGGTTATCCTGCAGCTTCGGCCTCGCTGAGGCCGTAGTCAGCCCTCTAGACCGACAAAGGCGGCTCGGGATGGAAAACATCGGACCTGGAGAAGGCCCCGGAAAAGGGGTCGCGATCCACACGGGCTCCACGACTGTGAAAGAATCACGGCGGCCACAGGCTCCAGTCTAGAGCGTCGGGGGAAGGGGAGGAAGAGCGAGGACGCAGGACGGAGGAGGGAGAAGGGAGAAGGGAGGGATGGAGGGAGGAAGGGAGGAAGGGATGGAGGGAGGAAGGAAGGGAGGAGGGATGGAGGGAGGAAGGGAGGGAAAAGACAGGGAGGGATGGAGGAGCTTCTTTTTCACCGCAGCGCGCGCACAACCCCGTAGTGATGAAGCCCAGCCGCCAGAGCTAGCGCATGCAGGGAGGAGCGCGAGGAGAGAGGCGCAAAGAAGCTGGCAGGGTGCAGAGTCCTCGCTCGTCCGAGCTGCCACCTGGCAGGACATCTGACACTGGCGCTCACCAGAAGAGCACCAATCTCACGCAAGACCACCCCATCCAGCTGAGCATGGTAGACACGACAGCCGAGCTACCGACCGAACCACAGACTTCACACTCCTCTCTTCAAGAAGGGCGGCTGGAGCCAGGAGCGTCGAGAGGATCTTTCGGTCTAGAGGGCTTTGAGTTGACGAAGAGGGAAAAGGGAGGTCGGAGAGAAGGAGGAATAAGGAGGCTGACTGGCCCCTGTATGCAGTACGGGCGGGCGTAATGATCGCCCATCCTGCAGTATTGCCTGCAGGGTCTTGTCTGAAGGCCGGCACCTGACTGGCGGCTACTCCTTGGCTAATCTATTTGAACAAATATAATGTGAAGTCCCGCTGTGGATAGATGACTTGAAGTTCTGAATATCAAGTAGTGTGACAAGGTCGTTGATGTTGTTCAAGTGAAACACAAGTGGATGAGGATGCCCAGGGGGCAGGACTTTTGTCTCCCAGGGGGCGAGACAAAATGGAACAATAGCTCGCGTGCGGTTCTGACGAGCGAGTGGAGTTAAGGATGCAGGTTTGATAAACAAGTGGAGTGAGGGGGTACTGCATATGTGAATGTGGGTGGCCCCGGAGAGGCAGGATTTGACCGCCCCAATTTGGCGCAACAAATCGAAACCAAAGCTTGCTTGCCGTTCTGATGAGCGAGAGGAGTTACGGAGAGTGGTATTGAGCCCACTGGGATCTGGAGCGAATGGTAGGGGCGAGCAAGACAGAACGGCTGGGCAGTCGGATAGCAGCAAGGAATGCGATAGTGGTCGGACGTAGCGAAGGAAGTGTCGACCAGCTACGCGAGAGAGGGACGACGTGTGTCAAGGGGCTGGTATGCGACCAACTTTTCGGGGATGCCATCCCTGTAGATTCGCAGATCGGGCTGTGCGATGAAGTAACGCACTTGGCAATTGGCAATTGCGAAAAGACAGGCGGGTCGGGCAGGCATCCGGGTACCAGGAGGACGAGGAGGGCGGCAAGCTCAAACTCCTCCTCCTCCTCCTCCCCCTCCTCCTCCTCCTGCCGCTGTCTCTGCGCTCGGAGAGCCCGTCGCAGGCCCCTGACTCGACGCCGCGAAGAGACGGCACAAGCAGAAACTCTGGGAGCTCCGCGCAGATTTGTTGGATCGGTGCTGGCCCTCCCTCCCTGGCGCGCGCTCCGCGCGCCAGGGGAAGCGCCAGAGGCGCCGCCAGGGGGGGCCCGTCGCCGACCTGAGAAGTTCGCGCGGAGCTCCGAAAGTTTCTGCTTATGCCGTCCTTCTTCTTTCGGCGGCGAGCCCAAGGGGGAAGGCAGAGGGGGCGGGCCTCCTCAGAAGGCTCGGAAGGACCCTGGCCTGCTGAGCAGCTCTCCGAGCCTTCTCCGAAGACAGAGACTGCTTCGGAGAAGCCCCGCCGCCTTCAAAGAAGGCCTGCCCCCTCTCACTTTCGCGACCTTCAGCCGCTTGCTCCACAAGCTCTTCCGCCTTTCCCAAGGCCCAGCTCCTAGTAATGTTGACCATGCTTGCGCCTGGCTTCGACGTGACTGAAGAACTGTCCGACAAACTGAATTTCGCGCCTCTGCCGCCAGCGTTCTGCAAAAACGCCCGCGCAGGGGCTCGCCGCCGACTCTTCCTCGAGGGCAGCGAATCGACGAGGGGGACGGCCGGCGGGCCGCGCGGCGGGCCGGTGCGGCGGGGGAGGCGCCTCCTCTGCCCCGCCAGCAGGGCCTGCACGTTCATGGCCATCTCCCGCAGCGCGCCGTCGTTCGCGGGGCGCGTCGAGCGCTGGGCGGCGGGCGACGGACGACGACGACGACGACGACGACGACGACGACGACGACGACGACGACGACGACGACGACGGCGACGGCGGCGGGGGCGGCGAAGGCGACGGCGACGGCGACGGCGACGGCGACGGCGACGGCGACAGCGACGGCGACGACGACGGCGACAGCGACGGCGATGACGACGACGACGGCGGCGACGGCGACGACGACGACGACAGCGGCGGCGGCGGAGGCAACGGCGTCGACGTGACAGGACGGAACGGGATGGGGGCAGGGCGGGGGACGGGGCGGGACAGGCCGCACGCATCCTCGTCTTCCTCCTCCTCCTCCTCCTCCTCCTCCTCCTCCTCCTCCTCCTCCTCCGCCTACTACTACTACTACTACTACTATTATTACTACTGCTACTACTTCTACGACTACTACTACTACTACTACTACTACTACTACTACTACTACGACTACTACTACTACTACTACTACTACTACTACTACTACTACTACTACTACTACTACTACTACTACTACTACTACTACTACTACTACTACTACTACTACTACTACTACTACTACTACTACTACTACTACTACTACTACTACTACGACGACGACGAGACGACGACGACGACGACGACGACGACGACGACGACGACGACGACTAATACTACTACTACTACTACTACGCCGACGACGACGACGACGACGACTACTACTATTTACTGCTGCTGCTACTACTACTATTACTCTCCTCCTCCTCCTGATCATACATCATCATCAGCATCAGCATCATCATCATCATCATCATCATCATCATCATCATCATCAGCATCATCATCATCATCATCATCATCATCATCATCATCATCATCATCATCATCATCATCATCATCATCATCATCATCATCATCATCATCATCATCATCATCATCATCATCATCATCGATCCTCCTCCTCCTCCTCCTCATCCTTCTCCTCCTCTGGGAGCCCACGCTCGAGGGGGCGTCCCCCCCATCCAGCGCTGTTTTTGTAGCTGCCGCACCTGGCGACCCTGGGCGACCCTGGCACGTGGATGCCCTTCCCCACCGAAGCAGCCGACCCTAGAAGCTCCAGGCACCCCGAACATCCGAACGAACATCGCAAATCCCTTCCCCCTCCTCCTCCTCCTCCTCCTTCCTCCTCCCCCTCCTCCTCCCTCTCCTCCTCCTCCTCCTCCTCCTCCTCCCCCTCCTCCCCCGCCTCCTCCTCCTCCTCCTCCTCCTCTTCCTCCTCATCCTCCTCCTCCTCCTCCTCCTTCTCCTCTTCTTCCTCCTTCTCCTCCTCCTCCTCCTCCTCGTTCTCTTCTCGAGCCCCCTCCACGTGGACGCTAGACGCTGAAGGCTGTCACCTCTGGACCGAAGCCCTGCACTCCCAGCCTGGCGCCTGCCAGGCCTGGAAGCAGAAGCACGAGTAGCGCTTGGGTGGGATGCCCATGGTGGCGGCAACAGCGGTGGACCCGACGGGAGGCGACACGGAGACCGAAAGGGAGATGAGCTGAGGAACCGACGACCGAGGGCAGGAGGACGACTACTGGTGGAGGCGCGTCGACGGCGGCGAGGGAAGGTAACGAGCAGGAGCGGGGAGTACCCGAGGGGGGAGGGACAGGGGCCCATGGCCCTGCAGTGGAAGAGCGCTGGCGCCACGGAGGGGGGAAGAGTGAACGGCCATGAATGGGGAACAGAGAGCACGGGGGGGGGATGAAAAGAGTACTTGGGGGGTTCTTCCGGCGGAGGTGGAAGAGCTGGGGGCACGACGGGAGGACGAAGACCGACACGAGAACGGTAGCTACGACTGGGAGGGTCGAGACGAGGGGTGGTGGGGCGCGGAAGCGGTGACAGAAGTTGGAGAGAGTAGCGCTTGCAGCACAGGGAGAGTGCGGCCGCTTCGGCCGAAGCTCGCGAGGTAGTCGGAAAAGGTTGGCTGCTGCATCGCCGAGCAGCAGAAGTGGGCGTGGCGCATGCGCCGCAGTAGAGGAAGAGATGCCCTTGGAAGAGGAGGCAGGGAACCCCGCGCCTCGCCCTGCTGAACATCGGCTAACCGATCCCAATCCGCACTGGCGTGGCATGGGCCCCACTGGCCGATCTACCCCCCCAGATGGGGATATAAGCTATTCCATTCGAGTTTTCAATGGCATATTCCCAGCTGGGGTGTTGGGATGTTGGGGATCGGGATGGGGATGGGGATTGGGATAGGGGATATGGGATAGGGGATAATGATCGGTTAAGCAACACTGACCTTCTTTTCTGTTGTCCTCCCCCGCTGGGAAAACTTGCTCACGTACGTGACGTAATGGGAGCCGCCGGGCAATGCACCCACGCTCTGGGCATTCGGTCTGAGGTCTGGCAAGAATAAAGTACAGCCCAGCCCAGTATAGTTGGTCCAAAGACGGTGCTGCCCACCTCCCTTCAGCCGGCAACAAGTTGCGGAACCCCTGCACCAACATGTTCGCTGCACCTTTTGGGATGCCCCACCGTCGGGCCCAGAATCGACCAGATCCGACCAGATCATCCCAGGGCATGGGTGATGGCCAAAGGACAGGGCCACCTGGAGCATCGCAGGGTCCTCCGCGGCTATCCATCATCCCCCGCTTGTGATATCCTGCTTGTCTCAAAGTCCCCGACCTGCTCTGCCCATCCTCCTGAGGAACCTCCCGAAACAGGGGCATGAACGACACGGGCGGCGCCTGGTAGGTCCGATCGGATCGCATGAGCGACACGGACTGCGCGACCCCGTCGCCAGCCTGCGGCGGGAGGAGCCAGGGTGGACTCCTCATCCTACTCCTCCTTCTCCTCCTCCTCCTCCTCCTCCTCCTCCACCTCTTCCTCCTCCTCCTCCTCTTCCTCCTCCTCCTCCTCCTCCTCCTCCTCCTCCTCCTCCTCCTCCTCCTCCCCCTCTTCCTCCTCATCTTCCTCCTCCTTCTTCACCCCTTTTCCTTATAAATAATTTCTTCCTGTCCGAGGCCAGTCTTCAGGGCGGCCTGGGCGTTTCGCCTGAGATTTCCTTACCATCTATGTCCCTGAAGCTTCAAATTTGGCACGGATTTCACAGATGGAAGGCGGGTCGTTTTCAACATGTAGTTCTCGCCTCAGCGCAGCGCACATTCATGTAAAGCATTTGCAAGAGCTTCACGGATTGAGGGCGGGCCGTTTTCAGAGTGTGGTTCTCGCTTCAAAGCCGCGCACGTTCGTTTTCAAGAATTGCAAGAGATTCACGGATTAAAGGCGGCTCCTTGTCAAAATGTGGTTCTCGTTTTAGCGTGCGCACATTCGTTTAAAAAACTGGTTTCACGGATTGGGGGCGGGCGGATTTGAAAAATGCAGCTCTCGCCTAAGCGCCGCGCACGCAGAGTCGCCTTTAAACCGCAAGGGCTTCACGAGTTGAGGGCGGATGGGTTCCAATATGTGGTTCTCGCCTTAGCGCCGCGCAAACTCTATGTAAAACAATGCAAAGGCTACAATGATTGAGGGCGGTTCCTTTTTTAATGTGTTTCTTACCTTAGCTCCGCGCACATTCGTTTTAAGAAACTGCAAGAGAAAGTTCCACGGACTTCCATGTTCAACATACCAGAAACTGTTTGTTGGATGGGTTCAGGATTTTGGGGGCGCAACAGTTACATTAATTCGCGGTGTCGAAGTCACGGGAATTGCGTTTTGGCGCGATTCGGGATCGTCAAGACGCAACAGCCATGTTGACCCGTGGCGTTGGAATACCGAGAACAATGTTTTTGCATGATTCGGGGTCTTCTAACAGTTGTCTTCCAACGGGGCAGCTCCTTCAGTGGACATGAACCGTTGCAGGGGCCTATAAAGAAGGAGCTTGGGGGAGGGTTAATTCCAACATTGTTGCTGACTCTTGGGTTCACACTGGTCCTCCTCCTCCCCCTCCACCTACTTTTCCTCTTCCCCTTTTCTTCCTCCTCCTCTTTCTCCTCCTCCGCCTCCTCCTCCTTCCCATCGTCCTCCTTTTCATCCTCCTCCACTCCTTTCTCCTATGAATCACTTCCCCCTGTCGCACCCGGAGGCCAGTTTTTGGGGCGGGCCGGGCGTTTCGCCCGAGACTTCCTCGCCATGTATAACCCTCACGCTAAAAAATGACAACAGCTGCACACGTGGAGGGCGGGCCGTTTTCAACATGTGGTTCTCCCCTTAATGCCGCGCAGATTCGTTGTAAGCTTCAACAATTTCAGAGATTGACGGCGGGCCGTCCTCAAAATGCGGTTCTCGCCTTAGCGCCGCGCACATTCGTTTTCAAAAACTGCAAAAGCGTCACGGATTGAGGGCGTGTTGTTTTCAAAATGTGGCTCTCGGCTTAGCGCAGCGCACATTCGCTCGAAAAAATTGCACGAGCTTCACGGATTGAGGGCGAGCCGTTTTCAGAATGTGGCTCTCGCTTCATCGCCGCGTACATTCGG